ATATTAAGAATAAGCTTTTAGGCTTGTATGGTATCTACTTGAACCTGTCAAGCAATTCCACCAAAACTTCAGAAATATATCTGACCTATAGCTCGACATACAACTGCCAAGTTTCATGAATCTGACTTTATTATTTTTCCAAATATTTAAAATAAGCTTTTGGAGTTGTATGGCAAGTACCCGAACCTGTCAAGCAATTCCACTAAAACTTCACAAATATATTTGATCTACAATCGGACACACAACTGCCAAGTTTCATGAATCTCACTTTATTGTTTTTCCAAATATTTAAAATTAGCTTCTGGAGTTGTATGGCAGGTACCCAAACCTGTCAAGCAATTATTCTAAAACTTCAGAAATATATCTGACCTATAACTCGACATACAACTGCCAAGTTTCATGAATCTGACTTTATTATTTTTCCAAATATTTAAAATAAGCTTTTGGAGTTGTATGGCAAGTACCCGAACCTGTCAAGCAATTCCACTAAAACTTCACAAATATATTTGATCTACAATCGGACACACAACTGCCAAGTTTCATGAATCTCACTTTATTGTTTTTCCAAATATTTAAAATTAGCTTCTGGAGTTGTATGGCAGGTACCCGAACCTGTCAAGCAATTCTTCTAAAACTTCAGAAATACATTTGACCTATAATTGGACACATGACTACCAAGTTTCACGAATCTGACTTTATTATTTTGCCAAATATAAAAAATTTGCTGTTGGAGTTGTATGGCAGCCACCCGAACCGGTGCAGCTATCCCATTATAATTTTTAGAGCATGTGTAGAATATAATTGGACACATGTATACAAAATTTTATATTAATAGCTTTGTTAGTTTTCGAAATATTTAAAATAAACTCTTTGAGTTGTATGGCAGCTACCCGAACCCGTTGTCCGAATTAGTTCAATAACAATAGGGTTCGTCCTTGGCACAAAAGAAAAAACTTGTGAAAGTTTGGTGTCGATAGCATTATTCGTTTTTGAGTTATCGTGCGATCGGACGGACGGACGGACGGACGGACATGTCTAAATCGACGCAGAACTTTACGCTGAGCAAGAATATATATATATGTCCATACCGCAGATGACTCCTTCAAGTAGTTACAAACTCCATACCAAAGTTAATATACCCTTCACGAAGTGCAGGGTATAAAAATAACAAATCTATCAGTTTAAATGTTGCTGAATAATGCATGATTAAAAAATAAATTTGTTTTTGTTATTTTCATTTTCTTTGTTTTTTTTTTTATATTTCGAAGAAAAGCAATTCGATATTTTAATCACGATATTTGAATCAGTGCATTTCCATATAAAAAATTTCTATATGTTGTGTGTATACTTGTGTGTGTATAAATAATTAGAAAAAAGAACCATTAAAATGATTAAAGTTATTTTTTTTATATTGACTTAGGCCGATTTGTGTCGTTATTTCATTTAGAAGATGAGAGAACATTGATATAAAAAAAAAAAAATTATTACTTTTACAAACATACACAAAATGATGTATAAATAATAAATCTATATCATGTGTGTGTGTATGACACGTTTCTAATAATACATACGGTTAATCTTATTAAAACAATATCAATTTTAATTTCCAAGCAATATATGTGATGTATATATTATGTAAGTTGAAGAAACGTATAGTTATTAATCAATTAAAAGAGCTAAAAAAAAACAAGTAAACAGGAGTACTTCAGAAAAACTTTTTCGAAGTTCAAGATTTCTGAACCCCTTTTCGAATTAAATCCGAAATGAACAGTCTGTTCGTTTTATCTGCTGTACTCTACTGAAATATTTCAATGAAGATCTCTAAAATTAGAACTAAATCTCTAAAATTAGAACTAGGGCCCTTCAGTAACAATTTGATTGATCACTTAAATGGTCATGATTAATATTTACGTCGATTTTTCTGTTTACAAAATTGAGAAAAATCGAGAACGAATCTAAGATTTCAAATAGTATATAAGATTTGACCCAAAAATGCCTTCAAGTTTGAAATAACAAATTTATTCTCCAACTGGTGATTACCTTAATCTCGATACACAATTTCTTATTTGCAAAATCCAAATGGAATAGTCTCCTGAAGTTACAGCTACTTTTGCACGAGCATGCCTTGATATTTCAAGACTAATACAGCTCTCATAATAGCAGATTCGAAATATTAACTGCATTGTTGTAACACAGACAAGCTAGTAGTTTCTAACCTGAGACGAAATGTAAATATTTTAAGGCAAATTATTCACATAGCTCCAGTGATGCTCAAATATCTATTGTGTTTGGAAAGTTTTTTAGTTTATTTTAAGCTGCACTTTTGGTTGTCTTTATTTCGCTAAACAATTATAGACTAAGCCAGTACTGGGTTAATTATTGCTAAATACATCAAGTATATTTATTAGTAGATTAGGTACGTCCAATGCCTGTACTTACGTTGTGTTGAAACTTTATTAAGATTTTCTTTGTTTTAAATTTCAAAATTCCAGTAGTCGAACTTGGTTCAAAAATCTGATTATGAAAATTTATATTTACAGAACATACAAATCTCTATCAAAATATGAATACGTAATACGTAAAATTTTATATTGCTACTTAAATTGTCATGCCCTAGAAATTCTAGACATTAGATTGTTAATTGAGTAATATTTCTTTTAATGCAAAATAGGTTTAATTTATAAATTTTCCAAACTGATTTTTAAGAAATTCTTTTGAAATTCTGAGTAAGCTATACTAATAAATAATAACCAAATTATTTATAGGTAATTTAAAAATTCAGCAACGTCCTTGTAATCATTTTTATTTTATGATAGTTCCGGTTTATTTTTTTAAATGATTTCAATATTTTTGTCTCTTTTTCAATTCGCAAATTTTATTATAACAACTAAAAATTTCTGAGTAAGCAAAAATTTCTAATAAAATTGATAAGAAATTCATGTTGTAAAAACAAAAAGCATCTAATATTCAAAGACTACATTTCTCATATTTTCTTTAGCAAAATAATTAATTAAGTATTTTTAATTTTGATTAAACTAGACGGCATTAAAAATTAAAAAAAAAAAAATTTAAAATAAAAATCTATTACTAGATTTTTCAAAAACACGTGAATTCTAATAAACCCTGAACTCATTTTCCAGATATGGCATCGAAAAAAGTCATTGCATATTGTTAATCAATAATTAAATTAGTGATAGAAACATTGTCGATAAGAGTCTGATAAGCTGTAAATTGTAATATGCAATTTTAATAATATATGATAACGAAAATCCAGGAAATTTATTGAAATTATGACATTGTTATCAATAGATTATCGCATATTTTTTAGAATATCATAATGTAAGTTTGTCAGTATAAAATTCATTGAGAATGTTATTAAAATATAAACACACTTTGTGCTATGAACTTGCAATTTATTGAAAATATATGCGATTTCTGATAATCGATACACGTAAAACAATGGAATTGTTTTACGTGTATTAAAAATTACGCAAAAGGATAATAAAAATTGTAGTAGTCCGAAATGATAAAATAAAAATTAAGCATAGAATCTCCAAACTGCAATATTACATTTATATTGTGTTATAAAGTTTTATAGTCTAATACATTTTTTAAATATATGTTATAAACAAAAATATGTAAGTAATACAAAACCTACCAATACGAATTCAAGTAATTTCATTTTATGAAAATCTACATGAGTTTTTCTCGAAAAAACTATATTGTCCATAATATTATATTTAAACAAATTTGGCAGCAATGTAAATTTTTAAAACCTTACATAGGCTTTTCCAAAAAATGTTTCACATTACAGAGATAATTTGAGCCATATTTAAAATAAGCTCAAAAATAAATGAAGAGAAATTATTTATTATGGTTTTTAATGCAACTTGCTTATTAGCTCAATTTAAATAATTAAAATCACCAATATGAAATTTTTTCTACATACAATTATAAAAGTTATTCCTTTTTCAAAATTATTAACTTATTTCAAATATATATGAACATAATATATCATGATATAAATATATAAAATAATTATTTGCAATAAATTTTTAATTATTATTACCGCATATTTATTATAGCTTGAATTAGTCAAGAAGAACAAAACTATAATGATTGCCATTGGCAATGGACAAAATTAAACTTGACTGAAACACTTAGAATTTAATTAATTTTTTTTTGTTATTCGTACTTATATGCATATATTATTTTATAGTTAATCTATATATTATGTTGTACGTATATATATAAGTATCTTAATTATTATTTGTAGAATAGAAAATAAATGTATAAATAACACGAGTATAATAAATTGAACTCATAAGAATAAAAGTATCCATGAATTGTATATAAGTAAGTAAGTAGGTAAGTTTGTTTAATAGTCGTAATTTAATCATTTTATTTATTTTGTATGTTATATAATGACATTCCGGGTTTTAACTTTATTACTGGCATAATAAATATAAGAACTCTTTCATTTTACTATCATATTGTAATGAAAATAATTTATAATTTTATAGGTGAACAGGTTAAATACATTCTATATATCCATTCTATATATATATATATATATATGTACATATATATATACATTGCCTGTAAATGTACTAAAATATATTTTATTTTTCATTTAGAGTTCTTTTAGAACTTAGAATTTTGAAAGAACTCAAGCCAGGTTAATTATAATATTTTTAGTGTCTTGTTTTTGTTTTCTTCTTAATTTTTTCATTTATATTGTATATATATGTATATAGTAATAAAAGCAAAATTAAATTAAACTTATAATTATTTTTTTAAGAGAACCGCGTCAAGGTTAACTTTAATTTTAACAAAAAATTTATAAAAAAAAGAAGAGGATATAATTCATGTTATAATAAAAAAAACACATAATAATTATAAAAAAATAAAAATAAATCATATATTTTAAAATAATTATATTTTTTGTTTTTGTTAAAATATCAGCACCACATATATATATGTATAAGTAATTTAGCTTAATTAAATTTAACTATTTATGTTATGTAATTTTAAACCTATTCTTGTAATTAAAACTTATTTGTTAAACTAAAAATATTTATTTTAAATTTAATATCTTAAAAAAAAAATAAAAAATATCACTTAGTTCTAAATTTAAAATTAATATCAAATCGAAAATATTCGAATCATCAGAATTTTGTTTTAATTTTAATTGTATATAATTAGTATTTTAATTTTATAATTTTAATTGCTAACAAATTACATGGTATGTGAATAATATAACAAATAAAATTTATACTAAAAAAATTATTTAATTACTTAGTATTAAAATTGTTTTCTTTTTGCAAATTGTTACTCATTTAATCTAGTCGAGAGTAGCTATAATGCGTAACAAAGTAGATTTTGTCGTTTTATTTTAATGTCAGGGTATCCTAAATATATATTTTAGAGTATTCATTATTCACAATTTTGTTACATTTTAAAATTTCAATTACATTTAATGATGGTTGCTTTCATATACAAAATTCATAATTTCTTTTTTCTATTTAGAGTTTTCTTACATCTTACAATAATATTGTCTTCTATTTTCGCATAATAATACATATTTATTTTAATATTGTATAATTAATATTAAATATACCTATAAAATATTTGATATGCATTTAATAAAATTATTAATGAAAATAAAAAAAAAAATATAAATTATTCTTAACTAAAAGAAAAATTTATATAATTTTTTTTTCCCTCAATTACTTCGTTATCATTAAAATTCTCGTTAATTAATTAATATAAAATAATTATGTACGACAACGTTTCTTTAAACTTATAAATAATAATGTTCTAAAGAATACCATTAATAATGTTAATAAACCAAATTGTGTCCATATTGATACATGTTCAATATCTAAAAATCTTAATAGAACTTTTGGATCACCAAAATGACAATAAATATCATTACAATCTAAATTTGGACGATCGAAACCAAATACAATTAATACAAATGCAACAACTGATACACGTATATATGAAAATTTCATAATTAAATTTAATACAGCTGGTATTGATGCTGCAAAATCAAAACCATATATTGCTAAACCTAATAATGGTGCAATAGTTAATGGTGCAACAACAGCACCATTTGTTACTTTACATGTTGCTCCAATAAATAAACCCATACCTTCAGCAACAAAACTTGTTATAATACCAACACCAGAATATATAAAAAATCTCCATATTTGATTTGGTAAACCAGCCATCCAATATGTTAATGTTAAAAATATCATATTAAATAATAATTGAAATGGTATCCTTGATAAATTTAATGCAACATAATATGGTGGTAAAGTATACCAACGATTAAAAAATTCTTTTTTAACTAATTTCACTTCAAATGGAAAACTAAGTACAGGTACCATTACTTGTGTATAACATATTACTAATACACAGCCAATACAAAATTTTAAATGATCAAACATACGTTCACCTTGATTATTTGCATTATAAAATATCATACCAAAGAATAGACCACACATAATATGATGAATTAATTGTATCCAAAGTGCAATACGATTTCTTAATATTTTTGTCATCATCGCTGTATATAATATACCAAATTGTTTAAATGATGATATCGGATGCGTATAATCTGGTCTCATCCATTTTGTTAATGATTTCATTTTTTCAAATAATACACTTGTATGATAAAAGCAATTGAATGTTTTTGGTCTATTCGATTGTTGTTGTTCAATAAATAATGTTGTTACAGCATTTTTATATTCAACCATTGGTATTAAATCATCATTATTTTGTATACCAATTTCAATTTCTGATGATACAGTTGCTGGCAATTCTTTTGTACAATATATTAATTTACCATTTTGTGTTAATTCAGCTAATTTTGGTATATACATACCATCATCTGAATCACATATTTCAATAATATAATCTAATGGACTATATGTTTTTGGACATATTAAATTGATTTGTGATAAAAATGATATTATTGAATTTGGTCCACCTTGATAAACACATAATCCTTTACCTAATATAAATACTGAATCAAATAATGAAAATATTGTTGATGATGGTTGATGTATTGTACATACAATTGTACGTCCTTGTTTTGCCATCATTTTTAATAGACGACAACATTGGGCAGCTGTTACTTCATCTAAACCGCTAGTTGGTTCATCTAAAAAAAATATTTTTGGATCTGATACTAATTCTAATGCAATTGATAAACGTTTTCTTTCACCACCACTTAATAAATCAGCTGTAACATCACGTCTATGATTTAAACTTAAATTTTCTAATATTTCTGTTATAACTTGTTTATGTGTATTACGTGGTGTATTTAATTTTAATGCACATGATATATGCATTAATTCTTCAACAGTTAATAATGTTTGATGATGATCTTCTTGTGTAATATAACACGAATTCTTACGATTAATTTTTATATGACCAGTGACACCGGATGTTGTAAATCCAGATATCGCATTTAATAAAGAACTTTTACCAGCACCAGATTGACCCATTATTGCTGTAAATTGTCCATTACGAAAGACTCCACTAACTCCTTTTAAAATATTACGTGTTGCAGCTTGTTTTATTATATTTAAATTATTTTTTCTTTCACTAACACTATAATAAATATCTTGGAATTCAACATCCTTTGATTTATTGATTGTCTCTGTTAAATCCATTTTTAATGGTTATTTTTGTTTCTTTTTTAATGTTCGTAAAAAAAAAAATGATTGAGTTATTAAAAAAATGTTTATTTTTTTATTCAGTTTTTCTCTTTGTTTTCTTTCCCGTTCGTAAAATGATTGTACAGTCAACTGAGTATTCTTACAGTCTATCAAAGTTGAAACTTCACTTTTAATTTAACTAGAAGTTAGATCTTTATTTTTCTTAACTAAATTCGAGTTTATTCACTTTTTTCTTATATTTTTTTAAGTTTATTGGGTTTTTTTATGATTTGAAGAATTGCTTTTGATCTGACTGGTTTTCACTTGAGTCATCACATATCTTTTGCCATTGTTCTAATAGAATTTTTATTACAAATTATTTTTTGATTTATTAAAAAATTCAATTTTTCACTACATATACTACTTTTATTTTTTTTTATTTATTTTTATTTTTTTTTTAAATATTTTGTATAACAAAACTCTTTATTCGAAAATTTTTGAAAAAAAAAATAAACTAATATATTTGCTAGTAGTTTTTTTTTAATGTTAATTGTTAAAACTTTGATTGTAAACTGATTCTGAATTTTTAAAACGAATCCCAAAGCACATAAAATAAAAAAAAAAAAACAAAAAAAAAAAACAGATTGAATGAAGTTAATTTTGTATTCTTCATTAAATCAATTTAATAACAAGAATATTGTATGATGCTTTGAAATAAATCCCAAATTTAATAACATCCAATTATAAATACTGATAAATAGTTTAATATGAGCTTGTATATACATAATATTAATGTGAAAATTATAATGAATGAATAATCAATGAATTCTAATAAAAAATTTATATATGTAAATATATGCACATATTATGTATGTGTACGTGTATGTGTACGTGGATTGAAATAATATGTAAGCTTTCCTAATACATCATTTTAATTAATTGTACTGAAAATTGTGAATTATTAAGTATTTAATTAAAATTCATTTAGTAGATTTTTTTAAGATAAATCTGTAAGTATAAATTAAACGCACACTTTAAAAACAAAAAAGTCTGATAGAATTTAATATTAAAGAGTTAAATTATATATTTAATATAATGAGATTGAAATAGAAAATCCAACTAGGTAAGAAACCTAAATTTCGAATTCTGTTGTTTTTTGCAATACAATAAATGTGGTTTCCCTTTATAATCAAAAACTTTTGTGTTTCAACAATAATTTGAATTAAAATAAAATTTCAAGAACAATTCTTTTACTTGCAACTTTAATTGAGGGACTCTGTTGAATATTTTCTTCATAATGGTCAACAATGTAAAACAGGCCCGCTAAAAAATGCCGATATATCCCAAAAGCTGATCAATCCGTGCCATAGTCAAAATAAATTTTCGAAATCAGACCGACCGGTTACTAAAAATAGTTTATTTGCACTTCCCTACCATGGAAAAGTTCGTTCCCAGCGAAAACTCGTTATGCAAAATTTGTTGCCATCACATAACCTACCTATTGTATACACAATGCGGTCGGTAAAAATTAAGGGCTTTAAAAAATCATTTATTTACATTGCTACAACATTCGGTTATTTTTAACATACCATTTTATCACGAATTTTCTTTACGTTTCAAACATCTCGAGTTAATGTAATCCAGTTTTTTAAAAGAATCAAAAAAAATTATACCTGCATTATAAAACAAAATAAATTCTTGATTTATCATAAAGCAATAACCACAAAGTTAAAACTGTTCAGCGTATTTTTAATCCACCATTACCATTCTGGTTGTTATACGCTGAGTTTAAATTTGTATTTTTCTATTTGTATACCCACAACAGTTTCGTATAGAGGAAAATTAAAAGCAAACAACCTTTTTAATCAACTTATTGTCAATTTTGCAAGATCAATAAATAAAAACACGCCGCCTAATTAATTTATTAATATGACAACACTAATCAAAATTAAGGGGCGTCAAAACTTTTAATAGAAAACTATTACCCATATCTATTGTATTTCTTATCATACAAAATTGAAATATGAATTTGTCTTTATCGTACAAACTAATCGTACATTCTAATCGTACATTTAAATATTCCCCGGGATTGATATAACAACAAGAATTACGAAGCAATGTAATCAATCTATCTATAATTATTATAATGATATGTTTACTTAATGTAAAAGTGTTATGTGAACGCATTTTTTAAAAAATATACTAAGTACTAAATAAGTAGACAGATACGTAACATAAGAAATTTTCTCATTTTCTTTTTAGATTCAAACAAATCAATTATATGTACGTGCACTTAGTAAACAATCATACGTGCCCCACTTATAAAAATTTAATTTTAGCATACAATAAAAATTATGACATGTACAAGTTTTATTGAAAATAATTAAAACGCACGTTATGTAAGAGAAGAAAAAAAAAACTTGAATCTCGATTTGGTAAAATTTCATGGAACTCAGAAATAGTTGATACACATATGTACATCTTAATTTTGATTCTTGTACAATTTCATTGATATAAAAAATAAATATAAACATTATACATATATTGATAAATACGAGTATATACAAAAAAAATAAATTTTTTATACAACATGTATGTACATACAATGAATATGCGTGCACGTGTGTTTGTAAGTACATATATATAAAAAAAAATTGTTTATGTGACATAAAAATTGTTTTACTTTTACTTTTGTTTTGTTTTAATTGAAATATGTAACCTAATTTTTCTGAGATTTACGTCAAACAGTTGATACAAATTATAAAAATATTAAAAAAAAAAAAACATTTTCTCATAACTCAATAATTTAATTATTGTGTACCTAATGGTCTGTATTTATTTTTTGAAATTATAAACTTGTTATAAAGCAATGAAAGTAAATATGTATATATGTATGTATTGAAAGTAAATATGTGTATTAGGGATTTGTAAATTTATTCAAATAATATAGCTTGTTAAAAGATCATACATCTGTACAGAATAGAATTTAGTTGAGATTGTTCAAATTATTTAATTTTGTAAAAATCAATAGAATTGGATCGCAATTATATTTTACAATTATAAATTACGTAAAAAATGCATACTAAAAATTCTTATTTTATATAAGATGAAACAATTAAATCAAAGAAATAAATTTAAAAAAATAAGTAGGGCAACTAAAAATATTTGAAAAGAAAAATATTGGTAATAAGGTCCTAAAGGCAATAAAGTCTTTATGATTTAAAAACTTCTATATTTCAAAATGTAAAAAGCGGCCTCACGTATGTATATGCACACATATATTGTGGTTAACTCAGGGATTCGAAAAATTTGAAAAGGATTATACTTAAAAATCACCAATTTATGAATATGATAAAATTAAGTGAATTGAACAAACGCAAACATATAACATTTCTTGCAATATTTTCATGAGAACTTAAAAGTTAAATTGATAAAGTCGAATCAAATCAACGGTTTGTAAAGTAGCACTTTCCCCTTCAACTAGTAAAAATACTGTTTTTAAAAATGATCTACTTATTACATTATTTAAATTACTTTCATTAATAAATGAAAATATTTTAAACTATTGCATACTTCTAGGGTGAGGCGACAAAAAAATTGAAATAGACGTTATTATAAGGAGCGAATTAAGGGGATAATTGTGTGCCCTTATATAATTTATATATCACACAATGCCGAAAATTAAAATTTAATGAACTTTAAAAGACGATAATTTGAAAGATATGGGAGTGATAAAAATTTTCTTCTAATAAAATAAACTACTCTCTAGAATCTATAAGCTATTTCAATTTCTGACTCCTACAACTTAGCGTGTAAAAAAGATATCATAAATTTGCAAAAAAAAAGCGTTTGTTTGTGGTTTCCATGAAACAAATAGTCAAAAAATGACGTTTTTATGAAAAATAGTTAAAAATATTCTTCTACTATCTTAAGGGATTGTAGAATATAATATAGAAGTTTTATAATTAGACACATGGACAGACGGTTCTGAGTTGACTTATAAGTTTTTTTTTCACATTTTTTTTTGAAAAAGTGCTAAAAACGAGAGTTGATCAACTTTGTAAAGTTAAAGCTAAGGTTTCAATTGATATTCACAATTAAATAAAAAAAGAAAAATGCAGTTACTTAACATTATAATTTAGTGATTTTCTAGTATTTTTTTAACTTTAATAGCATATAAATTAGTACATTCACTTACAATAATAAGATTTCTATTTTTAATTAGTATTTTTAATTCAAATGATAATGCCAATAACAAATTATATGTTATATAATTAATAATATGTTAACAAAAGTATTTACACTTCATATAATACAGTGTGGTCCAGAATTATTCTAAAAGCTGTTGATGATAAAGACATGAAAGCGTGTGACATGAAAATTTTGTATTACCCAATTGTAGAAGATGATGTAACAATCGATAAGAAAAACGAGAATTTGGAACTTTCTTTAAATAACTAACATTTTTTGAAAAATTTTCAGTCTCTTAACATGTTTAAGCAACTAGGTGACATCAACCGTTAATATTATCATGATAAGACCCCATTAGCTCATGTCAAAAACATGTTACGAGCAAAACATTTGTCTACTTTTCGCCGCTTTGAAACTGTTTTATTTGCTAGACAAAATTTTTTGAATCTGGTTTTCTTTAATTGTCCAAAATTTTTGATACTCTTACTCTTAGACTGCTAATTTCGGCCTCTCGCCTATCACGTGCAAATTAAAAAAAAAAAACAATTCTAAAGAATCACGGCACAGAGTTTTAATACTAGTTTTAGACCACCTTGTATATATCAATATTTTATTTTACTCTTTATTATGTAATGATTTTATTGTACCAGAGTATGTTTACATTTAAATTGGTTATAAATTTTTGAAATTCTTAAGGATCAATTGATATACCGTACATATTAAATAATCGAATATAAGATAATTATTCTGAAAAAAATTTTATGGCCGATTATAATAATGTGTTTCGAAGTATATGTGAGTACATATTATTGTTACTTAAAAATTTATATATGGATTTGCAAATCACTTTAAAAATATTTGTTATAAAAAAATTTCTTTCTTTTTGAATTTTAATTAAAAGCTTATGAGCCGGAAATAATTATAATTGTATATATACAATTGATTATAATAAAATAATATCGATAAAACATTAGTAATAATTAAAACTCTTAGAAATTTATGTTTTTATGCTAATCTGCCTTCTAAATTATGTATATGTGCAAAATTATCTAATACGACTATTAAATAATAAGATTATTTTTATTAAGGCATTTCTGGTATACACATTAATATAACAAAAAAAAATGTTTACATAATATAATATGCATGCATATATGGATGCAATAATAAGTGAATAAAAAATCTACAAGTTCATTAATATTTGCATTTTATATATGAATATGTTTATATCTTCCATTTGTATATGCATTATACACAATATGCAGATTATATTATATAAAAAAAATAAAAAAAAAACAATAAATTAATTCTAGAATGAGACTAATATAAATATATGCATCAAGAATATGTGTATGTGTATTTTACACATACAAAAACAAAACCACAGCTTTTAAGGATAAAAATTCTTGAGCATGTACTGAAAAAATTAAAATGTTTTTGAACAGCTGAAGCCTTTTTAAGTAAAAAAAAAACCATATCTTGATAAGTAATTATAATCCAAACTTGGTTTTCAATTCATCTGCTATAGCAGTATCAAAACTACGACAAGTTTTTACAGGAAATCAAAGATATTTGCCATCATTCATTAACTGGTGCACATAAATTAAATGTTCCTCTCTTAAGTTCTCTCTAAAACATTTTAATTTAAATTTCGTGTAAATCAGAATACAAGGATGTTTAGACACAAGAATGTAACACAGAATGCAATGGTTTTAAAATAGAATCATAGCAAAACGAAATTCTTTACAAAGGCAGTAAACATGTTTTTAAAAAAATAATTTCATTTTGAGTATACCATTGAAATATGCAAGTGATGATTTTAATTATAAATTTTTCACAATGTAATCAATGTGTTAATACAATCACAATGTAGAACTTTGTTGTATTAAGTATATATATTATAAAAGTGTATATATACACACATATATATAATTAGTATAGAATTAATATGCTTAGCTTTGTGCACTGCATTTAGATATATTCTAGTTTAAGTGTAACAATAATTTATTTAATAGTATTAGTAAGAAAATTGCTATTTAAAAATATTACAAAATATTTAATAATTATGCACATAGTCATAAAATTAATATAATATATAAAATCAAGAAACCCTTATAAACTTTTATTTGCAATATTGTAAAGATTTTAAAATGATTTAAGAATTAGATCACATGTGTTTAAATTTAATAATATGTAATACAAAATACTTAATACTAGTTTATTTCGCTAATTGTAGGTTTATAAACCATGCGTTTTTTATTTAAAATTTTTTCCTGTTACAAGTTGCATAAACAAAATGAATGCTTCATAATCTATTAATTTTTTGCAATATGTTCTATTGTGTTGGGCAAATAATAGTAGTCTAAAGAATTAGTTATTAAATTTTTGTTATATCATAAGAATATTAAACAAAAATTATGCTAAAAACAAGAATATTGTTTAATAAATCTAATTAGAAACTTCTAAATATTACTGTATTATGCATACAGAGTGAAAAAGAACCAATGAATTTGGACACTAAAGTAATACTAAACAGGGAACACTAAACATAAGTCTTAAATACTTCAGTTATCTTAAATGCCATGAACTAAAAAATAAATAAACAGCCATGTATTAAAGTTTATAATCTATAGTGATAAACATAATTGAACATGCAGCTAAATCTATGTACCTTAATATAAAGATAAAGCAGAGATACAATGGTACAAAACAACTACAGATAGAAATTAGTGTTAGTAATAGGCTATTAGGGCTATAGCCATATGAGCTAATTCCTTCCATAAATCATTATAAGATGACAAATATAAAATAATTGATAAATAATTTATTAATAGTAACCACTCTATGCGAAGAACTAAAAATATTTTTTTTTTGCCTGTTCGTTTATCCATATGTTCTTTTAATTCAAATGCCAGACCAACACGTCACTGAGCAGAACAGACAATCTTATCGCTTAGATAATATTTTGGTATACTTAAAAGTCGAATAAAGCTATAACTTAACTTTATCTATCAGAATAGAAAGAAGAGCTCAACATAAAAATGACAGACATACAATAGAGATATTTGGCATACAATAGGGTTGACGAGATACTTGAAATGAACTAAAGTTAACAACTAATATATCAATGATTAACAGAAAAATATGGGATTATTGAAAATAAAAATCGAACTACGAAACGAAGCAGAAAATACTACTAAAGTTAATAAAAATATTTTTTTTAACTAGAACGTGTTTGAAATACCACAAAATTCCAATTATAACCATAAAATTATTTTTGTATATCGCATTTAACAAAATGAATTACAATATATAAAAAAAACAATAGCAAACATTCGATATGAAAACATAAACATAATATGCATATATTTATTAGTCCTACATACTGATTAAGGAAATTTTTTTATCTTTTCAGAACAAAAAAAAAGCTTGTGCCTAAAACCGCAGAACAAGTTAATCGCGCGGACACTAGAATAAACCTCAAGGCTAAAAATATTTTAAAATTTTTCTTATAGAATTAAACCTACAGTGTTTTTGATTTAGAATGAAGGAAGTTTTGTCACATTCTCGAAATTTCTGTATCATGTTCAAGCTCAATATTTTAATACTGAAAATAACAACATTTTTGATTAAGTAAATATAAATACTAAACTTTGAGCGGGATTAAATCTGAAATAAAAGAGTGTTGCCAGAACATTTCAATCCACAACTATATGCTAAGTAATTCAAGAAATAGCTATCTTCAAAAATATGAAAATGTTAGTAAGGAAACAGTTTTATACTAAAGCGCTTACGTAAATTATTATAATGTAGGGAAAGAACATTTAAAATTTAATTGGCATTGCTTTCATCAAAGTAAATAAAATGCATACACACATACATATGTATGCACACATGCATATATTCCGTATAAATTATTAAATGACAGTTTTCATATACACACATACATAAGTATGTTATGTACATAATGCTTTTAAAAATGACATGTCGAATTTAAGAAAAAATTGTTTTTAACCAATTAACTCATATGTCCTCTCAGATAAAATTTCAATTTTTATAGAAAACAGACGACTTACATATGTACAAATTTGGTTTTATTTCAAAGCACCATCACAAATTATAACCTTGATATTTTTTTGCTTTACTATAATAATATTATGTATTCATATTACTACAAAATATTTTCGTACAAAAAAAAAAAACAATTTATGTATTAATTTCTTGCAAAAAACAAAAAAATACGGAACAAATTCCATTCATATAAAAAAATACACACACACATACAAATGCAAAACATAAATACAATATTTATAGAATATTTTTAATCAATCGCGAATCTATTTGAATTTCTTTTGACATGATTTGCATTATTTTATTTTAAAGAGCTTTTATTCCAAAAAAAAAAATTAAAATAAAATTGTCGTATTTCTTTCGCTGATAATACGATGTTGCTACATTTGTGCATGTGTATGTGGTACATAAAATTTATTTTTTAGTACCCGTTAACTTTTCACTCTTCGTTGATTTTTGTGTATTTTTTTTTATATTTTTCGTTTCTATTATGATCATATGAATTCATTTCACTTATTGTTGTTGCTTTTGTTAAAATTTACGAAAATTTCATTGTTGTTATAATTTTGGTATGTTCCTTATCGGATAACGGTGAATATATAAAACAATAAAATTAATAAATTTAAACTGAAAGAAGAGAGTAAAAAATTTCACTCATTTATTATTCATTATTCACTCAAAACAAATTTTTCATTGTTTGGTTTGTTTTTAAAATGTTTTTGTTTTTTTTCTTGTTTTAATTACAGAACACACTTAAAAAAAGTTAAATTTCAATAAAACTAATAAAATATTCAGCAACTACGATAACCGGTAATATAAATAAACAATTTTTAATTAATTTTGTCTAATTATAAAATGTAGTTAATAAAAATTATAACCATAGTCTTCCTCCTAATTGAATTGTTTTTTTGTTACTGAATTGAGTATATTTTTCGTTCTTGTTTTAATTTATTGACATCACAATTGAGAATGAGCACTTTTATTTTTCCTTCTCACTCATACATTGTTTTTTTTTTTCCAATTCATACTTATAAAATTTATTTAAAATAAAAACAAAATGAATAAACAAAAATTAAATAAGTTTATTTTTAATTTAATTAATTCTTTAAAATAATATTCACTCATTTCATTTACACAAATTAAATATAATTATAAATTTAATTTGACTTGCTTAAAAAAATTGACATATGTATGCATCTCTTCTCTCCGTTTGTAACAACTCGTGCATGCATGCGCATATGCATGTTATACATGTATTTACACAACTTGGTAATTTTACACTATCAAATGCACTATAAATACACTAAACAATCTTTTTTAATGTTTTTCCTTCTGCTTTTTCTTTTAATTTTTTATAATTTTTCTACTTTTCTTTATTTCAACATAAATTGGAAATTCAGCAAAATATACACAAAAAATATATATATATATAAAAAAAGGAAAATCAGCATTAAAGAAAAATTAATTTAATTTTTCACTCACGTTATTATTATGCATTTTAATTTTAATACACACAACAAAATCAACTTATGTCATGATCACAGTTTCTTGACGACTAAAAAACAAAAATTCGAATTTTGATTTTAATGCTTAGGCTCACATATATAACAAATTGAATATATAATAATAAAGAAAATATTTGCTTTAGTTGTTTTGACTAATTATAGGATATTTTTTGCACGTAAATTAAACAAATTATTTAAAATATTGTTTTGATAAAAGTTTTAAAAATTTTAGTCATAGTAATGTTAAAATTGTTATTTATTATATGTATGCATATATGTATGTGTGAGACAAATATTAGAGACTCCTATACAAAATGTTAATACGCTATGAAGAGTTACCATAACATTACCCATAAATTCAACGAAATATTAAATTTTCTGCCAATGATTACCAATTATTGTACTAAGCTATTACTTCTTTTATTAACAATTTTTTGTAATTGATTTTAAATTTATTTTTAATAAAATAATTTATAAAATTTTTACTTTTGTTGGTACACAATATTCAATATCATTTTAAAAATTAAAATTATAACCTTAATATACCATAATTAATATAATTCCAAATTAATATATAATATTATTTTATATATAAGAATGTATTTAAATAGAAATTTTGAAGCACAGTTCAAAATTAGTTTCAGTATCAATTTAAAGTATAAGGATAGAAAACCATTGGCGACGTATTATAAACGAAATTCCAGAATTATAACATTGTTACAAAAAAATTATATTCTGAATATTCTTAAAAACCTTATTACATACTCAAAAAACGAGAATTATAACTATGGAACGAGCAAAAAAATAACAGGGAACTAATAAACGAAAAGAGACCAAAGAAATTTGTTGTTTTATTATACAAACCGTACAAGAGAAAATATTCTTTGTTTTCAAAGCCAATACACATAGTTGGATACATTTAGAAGAAAGGGAATAAAAATTATATTGAGAAGTGAGAATGCTAAAAAAGGAAAAAAATGAAGAAATAATAAAAAAATAAATAAAAATAAATTTCCACAAAACACAGCAAACACCATTGAAAATATAAAAGAAGAACGTTGTTCGGAATCAGAATTTTAACACGATATAAAAATTCACGTACCTACAAACGAACTCAATAGAAACTAACATTATTATATTGCTTAGTTTTTTATTTTTCCAATATTTCTCTATTCTCCAGGTTTTTTTTTTTATTTTACAAAATCATAGCAATAGTCACACAAGGGGGAATGAAAATATGTATAATGAGTGTTAGTTTATGAACATACATGGGTACAATGGATTGGGTAAGCAATTGCATTGATTGCAACTATAGTATAAAATTTAATGTATATTAGGAAAAATTTATTTATTTTATTGTTTACATGTACTTAATATTGGAGAAAAATTATTCAATAAAATTTAGAAAATTATTACATGGTTGACATAAAAACACAAGTTATGCAATATTTACACGACATTTCTTTGAGTTAAATAAAAAGCAAAATTGAAAAAATATATGTAGGTAATTAAAAAATTCAAAGAAAATATTATTTTGAGCTAAACTAGTTTTATAACAATGGCGTAAATGTAAATATATGTATAAGAATACGAGTAGTTTTCGCTCTAAATTGTTTTCGCAACTAATAGTTTATAGCATTAATATTAATTCAGCCAATATTTTAGGGTTTTGCCAAGAAGATGTTAAATTTTTCATATTAAAATTCAGTAGCACGAATTTCATCTATATTCCCTAAATGTTTAGAATTCTAAGTGCTAAATTCTGTTATTAAAGTTTGAGTAGCATTCTTGTGTTCTAAATCTTATAGAGTTAATAATATTAAAAAAATACTTTTTTGTGTATTTTATTTATCAGTGGATATACATATGTATATACGTATTATGTTATTTACCAAAAAATATGTCATCGTGTACACTGTACAACGTACATGTACATACAGATTTGGCAGATGTTAATTTGATAGTCACCAACATTGTTATATTTATGAGCATAACTTCACTCTGGTCTAGTGAGAGACATTAAAATCATTAGAGAAACGATTGCGAATTTTAATCCTAAAAATATTTAAATGAAATTTTATTATTAAACACATTATTGATATACACTCATGTAGGTATGTATACCAATTAAATTATGTACTGATATACTACCTATATGTGTATACGAATCATATAGACAGATTTTCAATAATTTCTCGTAAATAAATTGTTGTAAATGTAAAATATTGAAATTTTATTTTTTTTTTATATTTCGTTGTATTCATTGGAATACAAGCAATTGCAGGAAATGTTTTTTAAATATAATTTTTTATTTCTTCACCATTTACATATTGTACTTGTGCATTCAACATAATATTTTTTTATATGTATGCATGCATGTATGAAGTACGTATGAGTTTACAATTTGCAACATTTTCATTGTAAAATCGTCTAACATAAATTATTTTGTGAGGCACACCTAATTTAAAAGCATTTTATAACTTAATATTTTTATTTTTGATGTTATAATTTTTAATTTTCTTTTTTTTTTATCTCAAATGCACGATTTACAAGTCCGCCAATATTATTTTATTATGGCAACAGAGTAAAATCTCAAAATATTATTTGAAATAGGTCACGATGTTTTTTTTTATTTTTGTTTTTGTATTTTCTTCACAAATATTAGCTTGTAACCAATATACCATATCTTTTATAAAGTAGTATGTTCACTTTATTATGTATAGAGACGAGTACATTAAAATAATTTCATATAACATACAAGGGGGTTTCATGAAAAAAAAAAAAAACAATATTAATTTAAAACTTATGGTGACAAATAATAATTATTGTTCATGAATGAATGTGATATTATAAATTTAAACATATTAGCAATTTAAATGTACATATTTATTATATATACACACATGTGTAATGTTATGTAGTTGAAACATTTGATAAAATTTTAATATGTAAATAAAAAAAAGAATTTTAGGTCATTATAAAAATTTTATGAAATTTAATTGAGTTGAGTTGAATCAACAATATAACAAATACATACATAATATTAAAATAAAATTTATTAATATACATATACGGTAGAGTTCATTTAAGTTTTCAATTATATTTAGTGTTATATACAATATGAACATATACATTATAGAAATAATATTTGCGATCGTTACAAATAATATTTGCCAATAGAAGAGTAGTATAAAGCAAATGAAATAAAGTGACTTATCTAGAGACGATTCAGAAGGGATTGACACGATGCAAAAAAAAAACATTACAAGAGACCTGAACAAGAAAGCAATAATAATCTTAACGAGCAATTTCTGCCTCAATTCGATACGAAATAGCAAAAGCTTTTTTGAATAGGCACTTAAAATGAAAGGAAATTGCAGAGATTTTCGCAATATAGGGATTTGAAATTTTGGCAACCTTTAGATATTAATGCACAGTTTATTTCGTTTCAACAAAAATTGTTTTGATCTCCATCCCCTCTCAAGTTATCACTGCTCGAAATTCGTAAAATTTGAATTTCTGGAACTGTAAACTTTTCGACATTTCTATAAATACAGAAAACTGACCGGTAAAATGTTATCCCATTAAAAATATAATTATTTATCTTAACTCATACAACTATTCTTGAATTCGACCATTGTGTAACATCCTAAATATATGCAATCATTTTAAGAATTTTGGTATACGAATGAAATTACATAATTAAAAACGTACGTTATAAAGTACATAATTACAAACCATTTGTTTGACCAAACCTTATTTAAAATTTTAATCAAAAATTATATTAAATAATTTTTTCTACAACTAATTTAAGAATATTAATATGTTTTATATTTTTATCATTTGTTTATTGTCTAAAATTATAATTAAGATCAAAATCATATTTAAAAGAAAAAAATTTAAATTAAAATTTTATAATATTATAGTAAATAACTATTTTAATTGTAATATTGAATATTTTAGCAGTTTTCTAGTAAATTCTGTATAATTACGTAATATCATTCTCGACGTAATAAAGTTGATTATAAATTGAAATTAAAATAAGAAAATAAATAATTAATAAAAATAAAATATAAAGTAAAACTTATAACTATTTTTGTCAGAAAAACAGGAGTTGTTCCATGCAACTTTAAGAATTTAATTTGCAATGGATAATTCATTGTAAACGAAAGTCTTGACTCAGTGTTTAAAAATTGTTAAATATTGAGTAGAGCAAAAAATTTTGTATATTCTTATAAATGTAATGGTACATGCAACCGTTGCATAATTCAAAATTGGCTAAGTGTTGTTCCAAAAACACGAATACGGTAACTTTTTTTCTAAATTATCAAACTTTTGTTCCCATTATTTTCTCATTCACAAACTGTATAATTTCATACATAATGCATTTTTATATTCAGAATTTTCAATAAAAATCGTAATTTCTTTTTAAGAATTACAATTTCTTTCAATAAATTAAAATTTTTATACATATATATATACATTATATAAAATATACTATGAAATTGTCAGTATATTACGGAATAAATTTTAAATTATGTCTATAAATTAAGTAAGAATATTGTAATATCCTATACTAACAAACAGCTACATATATGTGCTTAACGAAACATATACTCATATTTTGCATATCAAACATTGTTAATTAGCCACGAAATTGAATTTATTAAAAAAAGTATTACGGAATATTTTGTACTGACTAAGAATTATTGATATTAATTTCCGATTTTATGCAATAGAGTTTATATATACTCGTATGTACATAAACATATTTGTTTTTTTAAATACATATTATATTATTTAATAAAGTGTTGGTTGAGAATTTGTAAAAAGATTTTATTAAAATAATAATAAATAACAAATCTTTCTAATTTGCATTTCAAAACAATGTGGTATATATACATATATATATATATACATATATCTGTTGTTCTCCATACCAAGAAAAATATTTACGTCTAC